ATCTGAAAGGGCATCGGCAGGAACATAGTTTTGTTGTGGCACTTGCTTATACCTTTATGCGGAGGACGCCGAGTACCGACAAGTGCATTCCGTGGCCTGGCTAGCGGAGGAATCAATCCAGCGGAAGAAAATTATACTACAATAAAAATGTTCCTGACGTACGACTGGGAGGACTACTCTAAGGGGAAAAAGGCGTTGCAGGGTTTTCAAGAGCAACATGCAGGAGTACGCCCAACTTTCTTCTCACCACAGCATGTAGTCCAGCACAATTCGCAGTTCCTGAAACGGTGCACCCAACTTGCATACCTGCAGCCGGAATGTGCCGTTTTTCAGAGTGGGATGTCATTCTCAAGGACTGCGGACATGGCCTAAGATGCCCTTGACAGCTTCTGAGCACATACACTTAATTAACGTCTGCAGCAACATTTTGTACCATTTTTTTCCCCAGCAGCGTAAGCTATGGGGTCTTCAGCCGGAATAAGGTTTGGGGCAGATTGGGCAAGGGCTGTAGCAGGTTCCGGGCGGTTCCCCGATAGGTTCCGGCAGGTTCCGGGGCGGTTCCGACGGGCCGGGGCGGTTCCGTGATGGGTTCCGGCACGTCCGGGGCGGTTCTGCAATCGGGCGGTTCCGCGATGGGTTCCGGCACGTTCCGGGGCGGTTCCGCGACGGGTTTCGCAGGTTTTGGGGCGGTTCCGCGATGGGTTCCGGTAGGTTTCGGGGCGGTTCCGCGATGGGTTCCGGCAGGTTCCCGGGCGGTTCCGCGATGCGTTCCGGCAAGTTCCGGGGCGGTTCAGTTCAACGATGGGTTCCGGCAGGTTCGGGGCAGTTCCGCGATGGGTTCCGGCACGTTCCGGGGCGGTTCCGCGATCGGGCGGTTCCGCGATGGGTTCCGGCAGTTCCGGGGCGGTTCCGCGATGGGTTCCGGCAGGTTCCGGGGCGGTTCCACGATGCGTTCCGACAGGTTGCGGGGCGGTTCGCGACGTCTTCCAGCAGGTTTCGGGGTGGTTCCGCGGTTCCGCGATGGGTTCTGGGAGGTTTCGGGGCGGTTCCGCGATGGGTTCCGGCAGCTTCCGGTGCGGTTCCGCGATCGTTTCCGGAGGTTCCGGGCGGTTCCGCAATGGGTTCCGGCAGGTTCCGGCGTGGTTCCGCGACGGGTTCCGGCAGATGTGTTTTCCGCAATAATTCCGAAAGGTTCCGGGGCGGTTCCGCGATGGGTTGCGGGAGGTTCCGGGGCGGTTCCGCGATGTGTTCCGGCAGGTTCTGGGGCGGTTCCGCGACGTGTCCCAGCAGGTTGCGGGGCGGTTCCGCGATGTGTTCTGGCAGGTTCCGGCGCGGTTCCACGACAGGCAGGTTCCGGAGCGGTTCCGCGATGTGTTCCGGCAGGGCGGTTGCTGCGATGGGTTGAGGCAGGTTCGGGGCGGTTCCGCGATGGGTTCCGGGAGTGTGTTATGGGATGGGTTCCGGCAGGTTCCGGGGCGGTTCCGCGAAGGGTTCCTGCAGGTTCCGGGGCGGTTCCGCGATGGGTTCTGGGAGCGGTTCCGCGATGGGTTCCGGCAGGTTAGGGTCGGCAGGTTCCGGGGCAGTTCCGCGATGGGTTCAAGTTCCGGGGCGGTTCCGCCATGGGAGCGGTTCTGCGACGGGTTGCGGCAGTTGCCGGCGCTCTTGTCGCCCCCTTATCCCGAACCGAAATCGAGCTCCCTAAGCCTCTAAACCCACGCCAAATGCACTTCCCGACCCCTTCTAAACGCATTTGGCTTCCGTTTCAGCAGATCTGGAGCTCCATGCCACCCCTAAAACCGAAATCCATGCTGCAAATGCTTCAGTTCCAGGGAGCCCCTGCAGTAATGCATTTTTCAAGGCTTGGACGCATTTAAAGGCTGCTTCAGCTTTGCCTGTGCTCCTGTCGCCCCCTACCGAACCGAAATCGAGCTCCCTAAGCTTTCAAACCCACGCCAAATGCATTTCCCGACCCCTCCTAAACGCATTTGGCTTCCGTTTCAGCAGATCTGGAGCTCCATACCGTCCTTAAACCAAACAAAAAACTGCTGCAAATGCTTCAGCTCCAGGGAGTCTCTAATGCATTTTTCAAGGCTTGGAAAACGCATTTAGGAGCTGCTTCAGCGACGCCAAATGCATTTCCCCACCCCTCCGAAACGCATTTGGCTCCCGTCTCAGCAGAGATCTGGAGCTCTATGCCACCCCTAAGCCTGAAAACGCAGCCACCCACAAACAGCTCGAATCAGAATCTTTTGTTCAATGCCCCCATCTACAGCTCTATCAGGTTTTCTGGCGTCTTCATGTGAGCCCAATGACAGCCACTCCGCTGTAATTGGGGTTATTCAATGGGATTATTGAGTCTGAAACGCCTTTCCGTGAGCATCGGCAGGAATAAAATTTTGTCGCACTTGTTTAGACCTTCATGCGGGGGACGCGGAGTACCGACAAGTGCATTTTACGTGGCTTGGCTACAGTAGCGGAGGAATGAATCCAGCGAAAGAATTATACTACTATAATGTTCCGGACGGACGACTGGGAGGAGGAGCCTAAGCGGGAAAAGGGGGTGCAAGGTCTTCAAGAGCAACATGCAGGAGTACGACCAACTTTCGTCTTACCGCAGCATGTAGTCCAGCACAACTCGCAGTTCCTGAAACGGTGCACCCAGCTTGCATACCTGCAACCGGACTGTGCCTTCCGTAGCCGTGTTTTAGAGAGGGATGTTTGTCTCAAGGACCGCGGACATGGCCCAAGATGCTTTTGACAGCTGCTGAGCAGATACAAAGTCTAGAGCAACACTTGCAGCGTGAGTGGTCCGCAGGTACAAATTCTTAATCTGAAACGCCTTTCCGTGAGCATCGGCAGGAACATAGTGTTGTCGCACTTGCTTATACCTTTATGCGGGGACGCGGGGTACCGACAAGTGCATTGCGTGGCCTGGCTAGCGGAGGAATTAATGCAGCGGAAGAAAATTATACTACAAAATGTTCCTGACATACGACTGGGAGGACTACTCTAAGGGGAAAAAGGCGTTGCAGGGTTTTCAAGAGCAACATGCAGGAGTACGCCCAACTTTCTTCTTACCGCAGCATGGAGTCCATGACAGTTCGCAATTCATGAAACGGTGCACCCTGCTTGCATACGGGATGAGATCCTAGCATGCATCTCACGAAACCTGCAACCGGACTGGACTCTGGCCGCCAAAATGCAGGCTGTATTCTTGAGAGTCATAAGAGGTACCGCCAGAGCATGCACCAGCTGTTTTCCGGCATGTGCGAGGGTTTTCTTGACTCCTGATCTGAATCGCTGCAAACATGCGCGAAGCCACCATGCAGAGCAACGACAATAGAGAGCACGACAGGACGATGCGTGGCATGGGTTGTCCACAAACGGTCTTGCAATCTCCCGAAACAAACCTCCTCCGAAGCATGGCAGCAGCGGCCTTTGTGGAGTCGATGTGGTGCCATTGTCTCTGAGGGCACGTCAAGTCGGGATGGCACAGCATGGAATGCTCGAATGGGCAGAAGGAAGGCGACGATTTTCAACAAGGCCCAGCTTTCGATGAGCCTTCGTTTGGACTTGGACTGGGCTGTGCTAGTTTTGCTCTCGCGTAGGGCCTAACCCTGATGTATGTCCCCAGTGCTTCGTGGTCCTTCTGAGACAGTTAGGAAAACGCGACATTGTTTAGCTTCGAATCGGCAGTAAGTCCTTCCTTGTTTGACTGAGGACAACAATATGCAAGGCTGTACCAGGTGTTTACGAGAAACAGTATTAAGCAGAACTTGAAATGACGCTCTTCGGCGGACTTGCAACAATGCCCCAGGTATAGCTCGCAGAGAAGGAAAGCACGAAACCTGTCAAGAACGTGTGCTTTGACAAACCCTAGTCAATCTAGCCATTGGGGTCACGGCAGAGTCCTCAGCGGCATCGGCTCACCCGGTCACAGTTGCTTCGTCGATTTTGGCTCATCACGAGCAACAGCTGAGCCCCTGGAACCAAAACCTGAGATGCGACTAGCTCGACTTGGCGGCCTTACGTTTGGAAACACTTCGGACGTTCTGTGGAGCCGTGTGCAGAGGTATGCTGCTGCCGCTGGTCGGCTGCGATCAGTTTGAGCATAGCAGCTGGCTTCGCATTGTGGCAGGAGACTTGACGGCAGTGTTTTTCGTGCAGAGATTGAGAGGCATTCCTTTTTTTTCAAGGTTGCCTGGTTGACAACAGAAGACGCGCGCGATCCTCGCTATGTGCGTGAAGCTCGTGGCGCTGTCGTCGCTCCAGAGCTGAACCAGACGTGAATAGCAACAACGTATGAAGCTGTTAGTGTATGAAGTTTCAGCACTCCATCAGCTGCTAAATCGGCATCGTGTGTCTGGGAAATATCGTCGAGAACACTGTCGCTCTCTAACTCTTCGCACAGAAGGTCAAGGCTGGAGAACGTGAGAATCGAAGCCCGACGCGCAGCACCCAACTGCTGCCAAGCTGCACAGAACAAAGGACCGTAGCTAGCAGGTTCATTGATGTTTGTAGTGCTGTGTGGCCCGAATGTCCAGGTCACTTGCGCTTGAAACGACTACCAACACCAGTCCGAGACAAACTGCCAGCATCTCTGCTGCTAAAGTAAAGCCCCTGGATTGGCAGACGCTGTGGTTTGTAAGTTGTGGTGTCGGAGAGTTAGGCTGCTTGTCCACTTTGCGTTGATATCTTAGGAAGCAGAACAAGCCAGACCCCACCGCAAGTCGTTTGGGAGTTCTGCTCCGGGCAGTTTCAGAAATGTGAATGTGGCGGTCGTATGCGTTGGGGAACTCCTGACAAGTTCGAAGTCTTTGAGCCAAAAGAGGGCCCGTGGCAGTGCGACTTCATAGCGCTTGGTGACCCGGCACCAGGTGACAACTCGAAGGTATGTGAATGTGAAGTGTTGGGTTCGAGGCCACGTGAAGATCTGGAGTGGGTCTTTTGCGCCAGTCAGTTCATGTCGTGTGAATGTCCGGGCCGCATACGTTGGGGGAATGGCAAGCGTTGGAAGATCCTGCAGCACCAACGACACCAGCACCTGCAACTTGTCAAGTGCACTACAGACCTTGGAGACCCGGCTCCAGGAGACGCCTGGGCCTAGTTCCACCGAGAGCTCGATGTGTTGGGCCAAAAACTAGTCAGACACACCATGGATCATGGAGTTGTAGTTGCCCTGCCACCCTTGCTCCAGGAGATGCGGGGAAGCACTGTGAATGCGAAGTTGATCCAACTTCAGACTTCGTCTCGCATGTGTCACCGGCGGTCAGGAAGCACTCGGCGTCTCCAAAAGTCACGTCTTGTGATGTCTTCGAGAGCGCAAAGCAAGGTGAACCATGGGATCGGGAGCAGTGGAAGGCTGTGGCAGGCCTTTGTTCGGGCCCGGCCTTGAATTTGCCGGAGGCAGGAGCGGATGCCATGAGCGTCCAATCACTGGCCTCGATGGTGGACGCATGGATCAGTGAAGGGTTCAGCAACAACTACGCGAGGCTATACAGAGATGGCTGGTTGGAAGAGGCATTCGTAAACTTCATCGGGAGTTCGCCAAGCCGAACGAAATGGGCCCTGATTAACGAGCAGTTGATACGTTCCGTGCATTTGTTTTCTACGCGACCCATCGTGGTTATTCATTTCGGGATGGTTACACCGCGCGAGTGGGATCCAAAGAAGTATCCTCGGCTGGTTGTACGAGTCTTAGCTGCTCGCCACAGTCGAATATCCCTAAGAACAATTGCAAGGGAGCGCAAGTGTTCATGCAACTGGCCTCAAGGTAATGCATGCAGCTCCATTTCCGACTGCTGTGTTTCGTCGGTTCGACTTGAACAAGTTCCGTTCTCTGCTAATCGCACGTGTAAAGACTGGTATCCAACTGGACTCTGACCAATTCGTTGCTCCACGGGTGGCACCTCCGGCTTCACATGATACATCATGGGCCCTCTCTGTTTGCTTTGATACTGTCCCATGCCATCAGCGTCTTCGAACGCACGTCTTTCAGGATGAACTCTTCGGACGTGCCAGGGAAGAAGGCTCTGAGACGTATCCAATGCCGATTCTTCCCGTACATTTCTTGAAGAACGAGCCCCGCGGTTGCAGATCACTCCACCTTCTGAAAGGAATCGCGGAATAAAGAATAACGGTGATCACAGACATGCTAACTAAGGGAGTTGCCGATGTATCCAGGACCACAAGGAGGAGTGACAATGAGTGGAGGGAAAAGTCATGCTGCAGAGCTGCACTGATGGCTGGGGGGCAGCACAAGACTGATACCTTCAGAGGGTTTGGTGTTTTTGTTGTGGGGAGGGTGGGCGGGGGATTCTCTGGTTTGCGGCGGGGGTGGGGGGTCAAGAGGGAGGAAGGGGGGTTAGAGGGACAAGTCAATAGTTGAATTTTGTGGTCAGCAGCCGCTGCCTCCTCCACAGCCGCTTGCAGAATGTGTCCGATGTCTGGATGCTCACCTTATCGGAGGTGAGTGACCGGGTTATGTCACAAAATCAGTGGCTTGTGAGGATTCTGGCGGATTACTCTATGCAACACACTTGCTTCTACGACGCCGACTACCACTATTGCTACTGCTTTTGCTTTTGCTAAGGTTCTTGGCTCCCAGCTGACATGATGTACGCTCCGCATCTGAACTGTAAGCTCACTAGAAGACTTGCAGGCCAGCAATTCAGCACGGCTGTAGGCTGCCTGATGGTGCACCTGCTTGCACCTGCCTAGCTGTGCTCTTGACCGCCCATCTGGTGGCTCCACACTTAGAGAAGGGAGGCTGGCATTGCGAGCAGCACCAGAGCCAGACCGTCAGTGCTCCCAATTGCAAGTGCGGATGCCGAGTCGTAGCCATGCTGCTGCTTCCTCTCACTCGCTACTGCAATTTGTAAAGTTTAGGAGCAGTCTTCCCGCCTTCCTGCAGCCGGCTCTAGCCTTTCTGTGCCCGCGCCCGAACCGGCTACTGCTCCGGCCGCTTCTGCTGCTCCTGCCCCTGCTCCTGCTGCTGCTCCTGCTTCTGCACTGCTGCTGCACTGCTGCTGCTACTGCTACGGGACACTGCTGCTGCTGCTGCTGCTGCTGCTGCTGCTGCGGCTACGGCCACTGCTGCGGCCACTGCTGCGGCCACTGCTACCGCCCGTGCCGATAGAAGCCCGCTTCGTTGTCCATGGCCTGCCCTGAAGTGTGCACTCGGAGTCGAGCTGACACGGTTAGGCCAAGTCATTTAACTTGTGCGCTCTCAAAAGTAACAGCAGTATAGAGGACATCTTGTTTGGAGAGCATACCAGCGCGAATGGACCGCGGGCCAATGGTGTTTGGCCGATGAGGAATAAGTGCGAAAGACGTTGAGAGTCGGGACTCTGAGCTTTTGCCCTCAAGGTATCGGGCTTCTCATTGTCAAATAATCGCTAGGGTACAAGGCGACTCCTGCCAAGAAAGTGTTCTACGGGAGGAAGAGAGATAAGAGAGTCATTTTATCCGCGATCCAGCGTGGGGAAGTATTCCAGGGCAAGAACGAGATCGGGGGTCGCTCTACCCTGGCCGCGAAACGTGTGCAGGCCCTGCCGGGCGTGTTCCGATACGCCCACGCGCCTGTACTGATACTTGCACAAGACTGACAAATTTGAGGCACATGAAGGCATACATTGTAAGAGTTCGTGGAGAAGCACACATATCTGAACGGATATCGTGAACATAGTGCGATCTTGACGAAAATAACAAGGAACTAACCATTGAGTAATCGTGGTCTTGGTCTTCGTCGTGGTCGGGATCCTGGGCGTTTTGGTCTCGGTCTCGTGGTCCTGGGTGTGGTCGCGGTGGTCATTGGGGTCATCGTGTTAATTACAAGACATAGAATTCGGCATGTCTCGTTCAATCTCGGATGTGGTCAACTGGCACCGTAACCAACTCCCACGGTCTGCATACTGCAAATCTGCAAAAGGTATTTGATCGGTATTGCCGCAAGGGCAAGTGCAGCGTCACAACACGCTGGGGCCACGCACATCCAACCTGGACTTTCTGGGCGCTGCCCTTCGTGGGAACGTGGCTCCGCCGTCATCTGCGGGACCAGGGTTATTTTGCGCTGCAGGTTTCCAGCTTTCCTATGCAGTGAAGGCGAAAGCTGATGCTGAGCCTGCAAGGACGAGACATTGCCGGCTGTCGCGGGCCCACAAACGGAGCTCAGGGTGACCAGCATCGATGTCGATGAGGAGACCTCACATTTCAGTGTTGCATAATGCCCAGAGTCGCAGCGTGTCGCAACTTCGTTCGAGAAGCATCGCCAGAATCGACCTGGTGTTACAGTGTAGTCCCAGTGCAGTGTTTTCTGCAGGACTTGCTCAACATCGGCACCTGGGAAGAGAGGGGGCAGAAGCAGCGCCTCAACGGACAGTAATTGTATTTCGGAACGGCGATTCAGCCGTCATTTTGTGAAGTAGTGACGCTGTGCCTTCTGTGTTTGAATCATGTTCCATGCTTTCGAACTGTAAGTTGCTGAGGTGGTGCAAATATGTCAGGCCCTTAAAAACATCGCTAAGCCGTGCATCCTGCACGGCCGTTGCCTTTGGACCGGGCAGACTCGCAAATTTGGGTACCGAAACTTTGTTTGAAGTGTGTCGTTAACCGGTTGGAGCCAGCATCTGAGCTATGAGCGTCTGATGCGGAAGTTCAGTTGTCGTTTCCCAAAGCAGGATAACTACCCTCGCTCCCAAAATGCGAGATGAGGATGTTATGGATCCGTCGGATTTCAAGATCCTTCTACACGAGAGGGTACCACCCCGATCCTGCAATCAACCGCCGCCGCCTCAGCCGTCCTCAGTGCACGGAATGAATTGCTTTGTGAATCCATCAAGAACAGCTACAGCCACGGTTTGTGTTAGTTTGTAAATGTCCGAAGTTTTGGCATAGTCATGGTGTAGAGCGGCTTCGTTGATTGAGTCAGGGCACGCAGCCGCGCAGCACCAAATGGTCCACAGAAATTTGTCGATAGAGACATTTGTGATGACTAGATGATGCTTGATGCCTGGCTTGCATGATGTCTGGTTTGAATTTGGTGATAGCCGGAAACTTATTGTTGGGTCTAAGTGCTATGTGGTAAATGCTGATTGAAACTGCTTGCTTGTCGTGCTCTCGGAGAACACTGTGCAAGTACGATGATGCTTGCCACGGGCATGTTTGCTGCATCCGCGTAGCTTTGTCGAAAAATCGTTGTGCTCTCAGTTGCGGCAGGTCGGTGGATGCCCAAGAAGTGCTGTATTGTTTACGACTGTACATACTGCGTGGGTATTAAAATTCCCTATTCAACTGTGTCCAATGCGAAACCTATAGAAAGCTTCCACGCGAGGTCATGGCTGTGCAGACAATTCTCAATATAATTACTCTGAAGGAATTGCGCTGAGGAATTGCGGTGATAAACAAGGCAAGCAGGGGCATCATCCTCTGAGACGAAGGGGTTGTTCATGTGTCGTCGAGACTGTTACTGGGATCTATGGGTTTTCAGAAAATCCAAATGCAGGAAAGTGCATTCGGAAAGCATTGCCCAATCCCTCCGTCAAATGACGGGTCCAACTCTCACATTTCGTAAAACAAACCGGTTTACAAGAGACCAAAGTCCACCCATTTTACAGAGGTAACCTGATGCTACCCGGCATTTTGCAATCCGCCCCGCGGACGGAGCTGACGGCGATGACATCAGCGGTACGCTGGGCTCTGCATACCGGGCTTCCTTGTATGATCTGGACGGATGCGCTCAATGTGGCCAGCGTCGTTGCCGCGGTGCAATCAGGAGCTACTATGGCGGACGGCCCGGATGCCGACTTGTGGCTGACCCTGGAAAGTCGGAAAGTCTTCTGATTTTGACGCAGCTGGAGCAATCGCGACTTCTGTTGAGGAGGTCCCGTTGAACTGGAGTGCTAGACTGGCGACCATCGTCAGCTCCCGTTGGTGAGTTCAGTTTTCAGCGGATGCCAGCGCCACCGATGCGTACGAGTTGTCGTGGTTGGAGCTGGACTTTGTTCTCCACCTTGAGGACAGGGTGCAGTACCCAGTTTGCGGCCCCAGATACGGTGCTCGACAGTGTCTGACACACAAGCAATCATCACAGCAACCTGTCTGTGTCAGATCGAAATGCGAGTATTGACTATTGGTGCCCGAAAATGAATGCACCCGCTCGCGCAGCAGCGCACCATGCCGCATCGAGGGCAGACAATCTGCTGGCATCGGCTCCGAGAAGGGCCGGATCAAGTCCCTGCAAATCAGCCATAGCATTGCGGTGCACATGGCAACGGGCAGTGTGCTGAAGCCAGGCATGTTCGAGAAGGCGGTGCAGCAAGGGCAGGGGCATCATCACAAAGTTATGCTGCAGGCACGCCTTCGTGGTCGAGGTCGGAAGGCGGCTGTAAGATGCACCAGCCCACCTGTGCAAGCACAGTCACAAGCTGTGTGAAGGCTCCATGCAGCTGCCGACAAGACAAAAATGGGCAGTTTGACTGCCATACGGCGAAGGTCCCGTGCGCATGTCCGGGGTCTGCCCTAATTAGCGATGCAAAGCTGGGCGCAATGGCGCGCACCTGAGAATTGACACTGCCAGGGCGGATACGAAGTGCGGTGGTCGCCGCGGCAAGAAGCTGAGGGGCCTCAGAGCGGACTGAGGGCTGCGCATCTGTCATCCAAGCCCGAATTGCGGACCCGAGGCGCAAAGGATTGGATGCCCCCAAGCTCACGCACCGCTTCGATCACAGGACAACCCAAGCATTGCAAAACGCTCCTACACTGTCTTGTCAGCATCCAATGGAAGCTGAGGCCTGTCCGTGGAACAGGAAAGCACACCAAAGGCCTGCAACAGTTGCGCTGCAGTACGCACGGTGCGGCTTAAGTTGTCCAGAGGCAAAGGCGGCTATGTAGGTATGGAACGTCCAATCTGCCAAGATCATGGCCACCGCTGAAAGGGGACACCCCTCAGGGAAGCCCAATGAGGACCGGATGCCCTCGCTCACCTGTCCACGAATGAGGAAGTGCCGTTCGGCAGCGTCAATGAAAGATTGCTGCCAGGGATGCCCAACTCGTGCCGACATGGAGAACAGTGGCACACACGGTACAGTAAGTGATTAGAGCACTTATTTGTGTCTGTTGACGGGCCCCAGGGGTGGCTCCTGACATTGGCAGCTGAGCTCGATATCCAGTTGCACCGAGTGCCATAGCTCCGTAGCTTCGTGGCCTGGCATGAATCCGTAGAGCCCTGCAGGAAGCAGAGGTCGAAGCGCAGTCTGTCGGGCCCGGATGCCAGCCCAGGGCCCGTAAACCATGTTGTGGCCGTTGCCTTTGCAAAGGAGGCAAACGAAACCCACCACCATTTGTGTGCCCCGTGGCCTTGCAGAGGCCTCCACAGTGGCAAGGAAATGAAGCGGCTCCTGAGTGCCCGACAAACTTAGGAGATCAAGAGCTGTGCCCAGCCATCTCGCCCATGTGCCGCCCGAGGCTTGAGACGGCGAACAGCGCGAGTCCACATCTCCACAGAGATCTCAGGCAGGACAATGGAATGAACGGGGCAGAAAGAAGCGGTCCCAGTCAGAAGCCGTTGCATTGGAATGCATGCCAGTGAGGTGTTTAAAGGGACGTAAATTCAGGACACAGATCAGGAACAGAAGAGAACGTCTGTACTTGCTCAAGTGCGCTGCTGTTGGGGCATGCAGGGGCGGTCAGCGTGCACAAGTCACCATCGTAAGAGCTAGCCCGCACCGCCAAGATAGACACCCCGACAACCCAGTGAGGATTCCAAGTGCACGAGATCACGAAGAGGCGCGACAGCCAAATGGCGTTGTCACAGCGCTCCTGCAGTGAATCAACCTGCTCCGGGGCAGGCTCACGAAGATCCCTGTAGATCTGGGAAAGAGACTTGTCGTATCTGGCGTCCAAAGATCTGGGTATGCCTGCGAAGAAATCATCGTCATACATCTGCTTGGCCATGGGAGCCCCTGGCGCTGAGGAGGGCGGGGAGGAGGGAGGCAGGACTGCCCGCAAGTTGCACCGGCGCTGTGACCGCCGCTCCGAAAATCCATTGCGGAATCCGCAGGCCGTTTTAATGGAGTAACAGAGGCGATGTTCCACTGAGGCCGCGAAGTTGGCTGCTTCGGCCGAGTGCATGCTGGACGGAGTCGGTAAATCTGCTGAGACCAACCCTGGACCTCTGCTCCTGAAAGGCTTCAACAACAAACACCTGGGCACAGTAAGATGCAGCCTCGTGTGGTGTTTTTGCGCATGGGCATGGGAGCCTGGTTCCACATTCGGTATGCGAGGTCCTGGGCCTCGACCCAACCCTGGGTCTTCCAAATCGCACAATGTGAAGGCTGACAAGGTCATGGTTGAAGTCACCTCATATCACCCGAAAACCGTGAGAGCCGAAGACCATAGTGCGAGAAAGCACACCTAGGAGATGGTCCGTGCGGGCCTGTGCGTCGGGCAAGTGGCGCCGTGTGGATGCCCGTACACTGTTGCGACAATCAAAGGGGTCGATTCATGAAAGTGTTGAGCCACAAAGGCCCGGAGGCCAACAGAGGTTGCGTGCCCTGTCGTTGGCTTGGAGAAGCCCAGTCCACGAGCCCGCGCGCAAACTGTTTACTCGAAGGGCTGCATGTGCCCCTGAGAGGACCCGAACGTTGCGGCCACCAGACCCAGGACAGATGCGAAACTGCTGCTTGCGGGCAGGGAAGTGATGGCCGAGAGTTGTGTCTCGGCAAAACAGTGTATGCCTGCCCCCAGCCCGCGAAGTGAGGCTCCCCTGCAGGATTGCTGATATTAATGGAAACGGCAGATTGGGAGTCCGGGCCTGGGTGCTCAGCCTCACCATAACTAACGACTTGTTTCAGCGCAAATCGATGGACCGACCGCAGCAGCTTGGCACCAAATCACGAAACAAAGTGGCGGCAGGTCCAACCGGCGCACTGACAAAGAAAATGCTCCACTGAGCCAGTCATCTGAGTTGTCAGCTCGCTTTGGAGAGATCCCGCGGCTGATTGAGCGGTCTGCTGGACATCAGTTTTGACTCGGCCAAGCTCAGCCTGTTGTTCCTTCACCGTGTTGGTAAGATCGCCCAGCTGCTTTGCTTGATCAGCAACTTTTTTGCTGCCCTCAAGCTTCTTTCTCTGGTGGTGCAGCACATTAACACTGGTCTCAAGTTAGTGCAGTCGCTTGTCCTGCTGACTGAGGCCTGGCGGTGGGCCGGAGGCGTCTCGCTCATTCAATGTCCGCTGCAGCATGGTTTTGAGTTGTTCCACGCCAGGAGGCCAAATCGGGCATTCAGGAATGACATCGCGAACCAACCAGGGCTGTTCCGCCGGCCAGGCAGGAAGGTGCAGCTCAGGCAGGTGAGAGGGCAGGAGAACAGCCCACCAACGGACACAGGACTGATGGGCCATGTTCAGCTTTAGCCGAAAATTCGCGAAGAAGCTGAATGCAGTCCCGGCTTTGCATGATGGTGGCGATGGTGGGGTCGCTCTCCAAGATGAGTCCACTAGGCACAGCACCGACTGCAGAAGGGCACAACCTTGGACGGAAGACCGTACACAAACTCCGATAAGGTTCTGGGCCTGGATGGCTAGCACCGAGGAGGCACCTAGTCTCTGCTTCAATCATATGCAGTTTTCGGCGGATTGCAGGATCAGCAATGCGAGAACCGTGGTACCTTGTGCGCGCAAGTCTTCACACGCCAACGGACTGTTGTCCAGCACTGCAGCAAGCAACGCACATCCCCGTGTCATGCCGCCGATGCCTGCGCAGATTTCCTTAAAGGACAGGTGAGACCGGGCGTCCAATGGAGGGCGCTGCACCACCACTGTCTCTCGACAATTGCAGTAAATGATGCGAATTGTCATAGTTTCCCGAGTACTGTACCCCGTACAAGCCCGAAGTAAAGTTGCCATTGTACCGGCAAGCTTCCGAATGCCAAAGTGTGCGCAAACTCGCCCCATTCAGAGGAGCAGGAGTAACATAAGCTACCAAATCGAGCAAAACACCCGGTTCCAAGCTGTTCACGAGGGGATCCCCAACCACGGCGAGCGCAAATCCCTCGATGTTTTGCCGACACAGTTCCATCTTACTGACACTACTGGTAAGTCTCGAGCCCAGGGCTAATCGTCGAAGAGTGTATTCACGGTGCCACCTGGGTTTCCTGCACTGTTTCACTGGATTGCTTTGGCAGACGCATGGCGCACGAACGGGCATCCTGCTCCGGTTTTACCAGATAAAGCTTGGACCCTGTCAACGCGCATAGAACCGCTAGGTCGAACTGCCCCGGGCTGTTTTTTCGATCAGCGGGTTATGATTCTGCACCCCTTTGTTTGAGCACCACTGCATGCGTCTCCAAACACCAACAATGTTCCTCCAGCTTGTACACGTCCATAATTAGGCAACACTGAGGCTATGCATGGTTCCAAGCCTTTTCTATGTTGTGGGCTCACATTGCAAAGTGTGGCGAGATCCGTGTTTTCGACCCCGGCGCGCAAAGGCAACCATGACCTCCACCCTTCGGCATGCTTCAGGAAATATGAACGACGAGTTTGCGTGCTGCTTCCAGGCCACCGATCGGTGCGGATGCGGTTTTCCATCCGGCAGGTGCCGCGCATGGGCCTCAACAGATGTGCATACGTAGAATAGATGCTGAATCGGAATGTCCGTCTTGTGCAAACATGCCAAGGCTAGTCTTCTACACTGCTCATCATGCAGTGGATCCCAACATATCTGCATCGTTGATCGACCAACTCGACAATCGCTTTCGATCTGGGAAGCTTCCTCCACCTGTATTCTTCAAAGGCTGCTTTTACCAGGACCTGTGTTTGTGAATGCTTTTTGGGCCCAACTGTGGCAGGCAAGTGGGCACATTTGGCAAAAGTTCATGTACCGTCGAAGGATGGCGCCGCACTCCAGCAAGCCCACCCCGATGTGCGGTGCCTCATTTGAGATGCGCTTGAGGGAGCGCTGTATCGAATCCAAAAGCTGAATCAGACTCACACATGCTTTCCGAATAGCTCCAGCCCCCTTCCTCCGGTTCCCCGCCGGCCAGGAGTACGACTGCCTGATTCAGGCAGTTGTCGCCTGTTCACAGGTCGTTTTTCGGCTCAAGTTCTGACTGGCTGGTGAATAGCACCACCTCCTTTGAGAATGGAGAGATGGATATTAGCGCAAGTGTCCTTGAGGATGCGGCGACGCATCTGAAAAGAGATGGTTTCGCCATCGTGCGAGGCTGTCTCGATGCTGCCTGGCTACGACGTCTGGTCGATGAGTATGCAGCTCAAACGCAAAATTTGGCTTCAACAAAGTGGCATGTCACGAATCCTGTAGGACAGGTGGACCTAATACACAACAGACAGATTGGAGCGAGATGTTCGCCCATGGTTTCAACATGTTTCAACCCTGCAGCCAAGGAAGCACGAGTGGTGCCAGTCAAGCACTCGTTTGAAATTCGTCGTGAGCGTCATGGTGCCGAGGGCGATGATGGGCTCGCTAGGGTTGTGCACATTTCCAACATGCACGAATTGCCCGGCACCTTGCCTGCATTTGGCCTCAGGTTTGCTCTGATAAAACAGTTCTTTTATGAACAAACTGCTGTACGTAGTACGTACTCCAGGCTTGGCGCACCTGGCAGCCGACTGGAGATTGCTCAAGGTAGCCTCAGCATGCTTATCAAACAAAGGCCTGGCACTGCTTGCTGTTGGATGGAGAGGGCTGTTCGTATAAGAGGTATTCGAGATTCTGACGTCCAGTAAGCTCAGGCGTCCGGCCCATCATCAACATTGAGCTTTTCGACAAGCCACCCTTGGGAAACAGCTCCACTGCAACGCCGCCCCACCAGGCCGGAAGTATAATTTCGATAGAAAGTCACTCCTGGTGGTAGGTTAGGCGGCCATTCCATCGCCCGAAAGTCACTAATCTTCAGAGGAGCACAGGTAAACATTTAGATTAAGTTAGAATCTTCTAATCCAAAAAGCACGACACGAAGCGTTGCTCGTTCCCAAAACCCCTCTGGGCCAGAAGGCGGGATGTAGCCTGCGAGTGGGGTGGGAAAGGGTTACGCAGTGAGGGACGGGAAGGACGAATTCTTGTCCAAAAAACTTGGTGGTTGATGGAGGGGCAGGGGAGGACTGCGCGTGCTACATGCGTTGCGACATGTCGCGACCGCGGGTTCCTGTGTTGACGTTGTCTTGTTGCGCCGGTCGGAGACTCCAGGTTTTCAAACTCGCTAGGCCTGGCCTGAACCACACCAGGCCCTTGCACCACTGTCTGGGACACGTAGGGGGTGTGCCCCAGAGCAGGACAAAACTTATGATGTGTACAGCAGCTGCAGCCGACCACCACTCCAAACTTTTGCAACCGCCACTGGTTGCCATGAAGCTGCAGGACACGACCAGAAGCCCACCCCTGACCTACAAGCTTGTTTGTTGGGTGGCCCCGACATTTTAATGTGCAGTGTACAGGACAACTTCTACTTCAAGGCCTCCGAGCCGGGCATAGCCTTGTGGATCGCTTTGGATGCGCCCAGTCTGCGACGCGGAACTAGGATCAAACGCACACTACGTTGAAGCAGATGCGCATGTCTGGAATATGGTTGTTGCATTGGACGGCCATTCTGGACAAAGGACATGGATGACTCAAGTGGCACTTTACGCTATGTGCTCGGCAGTCATTTGGCAGGCTTGCGTGTTCACGAATGGGACTGGGGCCCAGCTGGGTTTGCCAAAAACATCTGCCACGAGCCGAGTTCGTGTGGACATCCATGCATAGAAGTCGTCACACTTCCACGTGCTTTCGGTAGATGCTGCCCTCTGAGATGATTATGGTGATGCTGACGACGACATGGAGCGATCGGCTGGACACCTTAATCCCGGAGACGTCGTGGTGCACCATGGGCTGACTATTCATCATGCATCGGCCAATCTCACAGCCAAACGTCGAAGGGCTGTGACCATCAACTATGTCGCGGAACATGTTGCCCACAGCATCGCGGATGATTTGTACCAGCTGCTGGCCCAATTTCAACGTGAATCCGACAATCTGTGCAAGTTTGGATCAGGCTACTCAAGGGCGTAGGGGGGTCCAATATTTCCAGGTTTGGTGAAATATGTTCTCTCGCCTACTTTTGCACGCTTTGGTGTGCAAGCCGTTTGTTTCCGAAGTCTCAACTTGGGGATATCGTACTGCACAGAAGCAGTGCCTAACGCTTCCAAAAGGCGACCGAGCAGAAAAGGCATGCTTACCGATGAAACGGCGTAATTGTGACCCAACCGATGAGCCGGTTCGCTCGTGTAACCTGTTTACAATACTGTAGTTCGCTTCCAAACCTTCACAGAACAAGGAGCTTCCAAATTTTCGACAACTAAGACCAGCCCTCGTTTTCCACATCATGGGGGAAAGCCAGCTGAAAGCAGCAATGCCAAAGTGGCCCGAGAGACGAGTGTTGGCCAGCACGGCTGTTCAATGTGCGCTTGCAAGACCGCAGTCTTCGAGCATCCCTGGCAGAGTTTCTTTCGAAGACGACCAGCTTGTCTTGAATATCCACGGATGTCTAGAAGAAGCTATCGAAGCATTGGTGTGCTCGGGGCATGCAGTTCTTGGGAGGCGATGCGACTTGCATCAGACTTCCATTGCTGCTTCCGAAAACGCTGCAAACCACAGTGGAGTCTGGATTCTGAGAGATGATGTGTTGGAAGGAATTTGGATCCAGGCTTCTTGCGGAGCTTTTGTCGACATTTGCTCACCGGTGTCTTTGCGCAAGGCTCGGGACTGTCCAGATGCGGTGCGAGGGGTCACTTTGATGTCGAAAGATGACGCCGAGACGTTGCTGCAATGCAGGTTGAGCAGCCAGACACCGCTGCCGTTGTGGAGCAGCATGCGGCAGCCGGTATGTTGTGCGACGGTTTGCATGGAGATTTGGCCTTAGAAATGCAGGGGGAGGCGTTCTCAAACCCTTCAGTGAGAAACCTTGATATTCTTCGCCTTGACAAGGTCTACAAGCAGCAGCTAACGAGCTTCCAATGTTCATGGCGTCCGCAGCAGATTGGTCTGCACAGCGACGAGGGCGACTCAGGAGAGAGAGCCGCAGAAAGGCTGATCCAAGAAGCGACTGTCCAATGTCCGCGTGGAGACCTAAGCGCTTGACAATGGGACGGCCTCCAGCGCCTGCACCATGCCAGCGAGTACCGCTGAGTACCGAGGCCAGCTCGTCTGGCATCGCGAGGCAACCAGTACTGCCACCGTGCTGCGTCTTGAAGGCAGGCTTGGATGGTGGGTTGCCGTGAGCTCAGAACCAGAGGAGGCTTCGCCGCATCCTTCTTGCATCTCATAAGTTGCGACGATGTCCTGTAGGTCAGTGGCAGCTGGTGGGGCCGAGTTCTTGGCAGAGAAGACCATGATATCGTGAAGCGTGTAGGCTGCAAATCGCTTTGGCATTTGATCTCAACCTATTCTCAAGACCTGGGCCTGGACGAGAACGCTGCCATCCAGGGCTGCCAAGCAATTTTCGGACGCGTTGAAGAGCCGGGCATCCTGCGGATTCTGCAAAGCCTCGACCCTTCTCAAGCCGGGCCTCGGCCTTAAGCCAGGTAGGACCGTAAGAACTTCAAGACCTTTAATGATTTGATGCGAAGCATATCCGGCTTTGGAGGTATTGCGACGGCTTGTAATTCTTTGCGGCCGTTCCGTCGTTTCTGCGCCTTCTTTCTACAGAAAGCGCAGCGGGTCCTTTAGTGGGCCCTTGGGCTCGTCGTTCTGCTTCTGTGTAAAGAAATCCTGGAAGGTGCTAGGTTGCTCTTGCATGTCTGATGTCCGCACTGCTGCAATGATGAACTATAGGTCCTTGTTTCTCGATGGATCTTCGAAGTGGCTGATTCGTGCAGAGCGGGACATTCTGAAGGAGTCATGGTCAACATTGGATTGGAGAGTCGTCGCCTCTTGGTGTGATCCAAGCATTGCCTGGCTGCTCGCATGGAACCCCTTGTTGACAGCAAGCTACAGTTTGCAAGGATGGTCACAGTGGCCTTACGACTCTCGGCATTTCTGGTCGCTTGAAACGCAAACCAGCCGGGCCGCCGACGAGCGAGTAGAGCGAGCCGTGCATGAGAGGCAGCATGCCCTGGCATGGAAAATTCAGCTTCGGCTGGGCAATCATGCCATGGTGCAACTAGAATACATAAAAAGCCGGAAAAAGCGTGAGTCAAAGCACTCACAGAAGCCAGTGGGACTGCTACCGTGCTGCTACCGACGCTACTGTACGTGGTTCCACTTGTGAGCCTCACGGTTTGCCGGACGATGTGTGATTTCCGCAGGCATGTTGCCCAAACCTAGGGTTGACCCTGAGGTTCTAAGTAAAGGCCACTTCCATATTACAGTCCAGGTTCCACGTCAACGACGTTGACCTGGCTGATGGTTGCATGGGCGCTTTGTTTCTTATGGCTACAACCAATTAGTGCCATCAAAGATATCAGCGCGTCGGTCAGTTCATCTGGCAAGATGCGGCTGGACACAGGTCGCCTGCTTGACTTCAGCCCCCGCCTGCTCAGAAAGGAAAGACCTGAAGTTGCTCTACTGGCCACAGAGCCAGCATTGGGACGAGCTCCGCAAATTGCCCAAAGAGCACCGCAGAAGGCGAAAGCTCCGACAGGCCAAGGCGGCCAAGGCGGCCAAGGCACCGTGTCTGCTCTAGGAGTTGCTCCGCAGCTCGAAGTGGAAAGCGTTCAGCTGGCAAACGACAGGCCAGCCCTGGGCAGTTTCTCCAAAGTACGCAGACGAAGAGAAGCTGCCTCGTCTTATGAGTCAACCACAACTGAGGAGAGGGAGGGACGTGAAGAAGCCGGAGATCAGACAAGCACCAGCGAGACTAGCAGCACCACTGCAAGTAGCACTGAAGAAGCAGAAGCCTCAACTACAGACGAAAGCTCCTCCGACTCCGAGGAGTCTGAGCAGTCTGAGGGAGAAGGGGAGAATGCAGAAACAACCTCCGAGGAGCCACAGGACGAGCTTGAAGAAGCTGCAGATACCACAACAAGTGCTAAGGCGGCAACCACAACTGAGGCAGAGACAGGGGCCACGTCCTCCACGACTGCTCAGGTTGAAGAGGGTATGCAGGACGAATCTACAACCACGAGTGCAGAGGAGGACGAGGAGTCTGCACAGGACACCTCCAAGCAGTCTAGTACGGATTCGGAGAGCACCACCGAATCCAGCGAGGAGGAGGAGGGAGCTAGCACAAGCAGCCAGAGGCGGGAGCCCACAACCTCCACCAAAGCAACAACAGCAACAAGTAGAACAACCACAAAGCGCACGGCAAGAAAGAGGCGCGAGCGTTCGACTAGCACCACCACCAGCACCACTGCCAGCACTACCCGCACAATGCCAAAGACCAGCACCACCGCCACCACCACCACCAAGAAGTCGGCGCGGAAGCCTTCCGGGAAAGCCACTTCCACAACCGCTGTCAGCAGGAGAAGCACAACCACTGTGCAACCTAAAAAATCAACCACATCAGCATCGACCACTACACCTGCGAGGGACAAGCCGCGCACTCAGACGACAACCAAAAAACCTGGCAGAACAACATCTGCGCAGCGCGCTTCATCCACGACATCGACACGGAGTCCTGGCAGCAGCACTTCCAGAGAAAGCACGAAAGGTACGTCCACCACGCCGGCTGGCAGAACAGCATCGTCAACTGTTTCAACTTCACAGACATCAGGTACAACCACGACAACTACCTCGACTAGGTCCGTCCGCTTGTCCACAACGCACACGGCAACTTCCACAAAAGCACAAGATCTCACTACGTCTGTGTCTTCTAGCGTTCTTGCGAGCACCGCTTCGCAAGCCGAGCCCACCGGGACTGCATCGTCAACGACTCAGGAAACAAAGCCGATCGCAGCCCAAAGCTCCTCTACCACCACTTCGACAACCACGACAAGCACCACCTCTTTTACTTCTACCACATCCCAAACAAGCACAACATCCACTCTCACCACTCAAGTGCCCACAAGCACCACAAGCACCACAAGGACCACTGTGACTGTCACAACGACGACTGACAGGGTGGTTCCTGTATGCCAAGGACCAGCATTGGTTTGTGATCCTAAGGAGGCAGACCCGTGCAAGTACCAGAACCCGTGTCGGAGCCCAAGGGAGCGTGTGCTAAGAGTTTTTGCACGGCCCTTGTGCATGGATCCGAGGCATTGGCTACCAAATGTGCCAAGAAGGTGTATTTAAGCCGTGTGTGGACTTCACCAGCGGTGGAGAGAGTGGTTGCGAACTCTCTCAGGACAGGATTGTCATTGGACCTGTGTTATACTGTTATACATTTCTTTCTCGCCGCTTGGATGCGCAAGCGTTCAGTGAGCGGGCATTTCTGACAACAGGACGTTTGCGACGGCACCAAGCTACATCCACTTCTACTTGCTCGGTTGTCGGCAGGACTTGTCCAGTAAAGAGCAGTCGAGCAGCCAAGACAGGCCTGCGGCAGGGCAGTACACCGTGGTAGTTGAGCCATGTTGAGCCATCCAGGTGCAAAAGAGTATCTCGACTTTAAATGTTCGCGAAAGTTGGTTACATGTATCAGGGCGACGATGCCAACCGCCGATGTGGCGCCCGTGGCCCTGGAGCAAGACGGCCTTGGCTTGAAAAGTGATCAGAATCTGCTGCTCATTGAGTTCTTGGCACACCCCTCCTGTGCCGCACACAGGTTTGCAATATCCATGCCTCCTGCGATGTAAGGCACCATGAGCCCGGATGCAAGCAACACCCGTGAAGAATCAGGTTGTTGTGTCATGGTAAGTGGCAGCCCAATAGCAGTACTTGAGCGCAATAAGCACGTAAAGAGATTTCTGTTTGGCTCTGAAAGTTCTCTAATTTGACCGGTTAGTAGTGTTTGGACCATCTTTGCTTCAAAGTTTTTCGGGGCTGACGCAGGGGTCGCGGTCTCTGGGATGAGTTGAGTTACATCTTGCCGACACGGTGTAAGCAGGATACATGACCTAGCCAAGAATATGATTGATTGGGTGGCATGAATGCTTGTGCAAGCAGCTGCCAGCCTGTGACTATAACACAACTGTTGTGCTTGTGGTTATTTATGGCTGTGTGAATGAATGCTGTTATTGGACGCGAGTGTTTATCAACTGGCTGCTGATCTGGCCCAATACGATCGTTAAACCAAGTTCTCCCCGATGTCGTTAATGTGGAGAACATGTGCCTTGGGAGCAGTCGGTGTTGTGGTGTACTCCGTGTACTTAGCTTGGCCTGGTTTCCATGCCCAGGTGCCTCTGCCGCTTGACACGGACACTGGCAGCCACGATCAACTCCCTCCTCGAGGCGAGGCACAGTGCCTCAAGAATGAAGCTTGTGAAGTGACTTCTAGGTTTGTTCCCACCATCGCATTTTCATGCACAAGGGTGAGGGTCCAAGACAAGAGGCGTTTTCAGTAAAACACAGGCATCTGGCGACGCTTGAACAGCCTCTCGGGTTTCGCAGGGTGTCCAACACACCTTCTAGAATCATGGAAGCCAGACATGAATGTCCCCCGAGTGGCTTGTAGCTTGTAGCCTTGGGACTACGTTTTGTGCCAGGGGCGTCCAGCTCTTCGAGTTCCATAGTCCAGGCCTGCAGTTTTCGTCGTTTGGAAGGACCACACACAATGAGGATGGGCACTGGCTCCCATTGGCTAGGAAGTAAGACAGAACAAGGACGCGTGTCATGTCAGGCTACCATGCCTCGCATTCTACTAGTGGTTGTTCAGCTCGCTTTCGCACCAATCTTACTTGCAATGCATTCGCAAGCGAAGGCAGGCCTTGCATCTGAGTCCAGCCAGTCAGTCCTTACCTCGATCATTCATATCATTCCACTGAGGCTATGAAGAAAGATCATGTCACCACCGACGAGGCTGCTGCTGTCACAGAGGATGTCGCATCTGGCTTTGTGATGTTGCGGCTCAGGAAAAGGGATCATCCCCGGCACCTGTGCTGGCTGCTGCCCTTCATTCTATTCAACTGTCTGAGGTGCGCATGGTTTGCCTGGGCTGTACTTAAACCTTGTATGACTGCTTGTGAGCAGCTAGTGTCCTTTTCTTGGCAGTCAAGATGAAGCAAACTGCCTTCTTGCAGGTGGCACCCGTCAGAGAGCTGTCGTTTATGCAGGCCAGAACGGCTTATCACATTTATCAAGCATGTTTTGCATTGCAGCACTCAGCCGGAAACCCGCCCCGAGCACGCAATGCAGGCAGGCAGGCGGGCGGGCGGGCAGGGCAGGGCAGGGCAGGGCAGGGCGGGGCAGGGCACAGGCAGGTCACAGCAGGGCACAGGGCACAGGGCACAGGGCACAGGGCGCAGTGCAGGGCAGAGGCAGGGCAGAGGCAGAGGACAGGGCAAGGCAGGGCAGGGGTGGTTTTCAAAACGTGGCTCGTGAAGTGTCTGAAACAAATGAGGTGATGGAGAACCCAGCGAAAACGATTTCGTTGCGAAATCGTCCGGCAGGTATACTGACTTTGCTGGTTTCGGGCGGTTTATTCCGTGCAGGTCTCGTTGGAAGTGCAGAGTCGCTCTCCCAGGAGCGTTGTAGCGTGTTCACCGCCGCTTCGGCGTTTCACCCGTCTGTCCTCTGTATTCGTCTCTCTCATGGGCGTAGACGGAGAGGAGCCACGGAGAGCCCGCCGTGGACTTCAGCAAAACCCTGACAGACGCAACTGATGCTGCGCTGGAAGCTGCGCAGGAGGGATGGGTGTGAGAGCTTTCTGTGCAAGTTCATGCATGACGTGAGCCACTCCGCAGCCAGATTCAGATTCAACATGTGAACCTGAGGATGCAGGCAAATCGGCGGTGCACCTATCGGAGGTCGCCTCAGAAGCAGCCCACGTGCCTGGCCCGGCCCGGGGTCATCCGGGGTCTTCTGTGTGTGGATTTGAACCGTCTAAGCCTCTGTCTAGCTCAGGCAGCGGCACAGATTGCCGTCACGTTGCAGCGGCTCGGCATGCGACGGATTGGCGTGCTGGAGCCTAGCCTTTGCCATCGCGTCAGGTCTCGCGATGCCGAGGCGTGAACCGCAGTTATTCTGCTCATGGAGTATCATTAGCTCGTTTTCTGGAAGGCCTGGCCAAGCAATGCAACGGCTGTCCAGGACAGCCGAAGTCTGAGTGTACTTGCATACACATGTTGCGAGCCTTTCAGTGGTCAGGCCACGGCCAACCTCGGAGAGCTCCCTGGATGGCAAGATGTTTACCATGTTTTGCAGCCACGAACCGTGAGTTCGCCACGGCCTGCCGCTTGCATGAGGTCTTTGGCGACAAAGCTATCAGAAGAATATGCCGCCTCTGCTTCCGAACCTCTGGATAAATCTGAGAGGATGTCGTGCCCGCCATCCGACATGTCATTCCAAGGAGATCCGTCAGCCCGGGGCGAAAAATAGTTTGGTGACTCAGAGTGGCACCACTCGGGCACACCACACTGACACCCATCCCCCACCAGAGAGACGCTGAACGATACAGAGGATGCGCGTGCGTAGCCTCAGTCATGTTTGCCCGCCGCCGAGGCAGCAACACAGTGCCAGCAGTGGCTTCCGATGCTTCCCATCGTCCGGCGGCATCCTGAGTGTGGTGGCGGTTGTGATTCTTCCCTGTTGATTCGAACATGATCGAGATCAGCTTTTCTGGATTGTACGCAGGTCGTGCGAAGCGGAGAAGTCATCAATCGCACAAGCCAGGCGTCATAAGTTTTTTGCGCCGAGAGCTGCTTCACGTTACATCAATCCAACAGTCCTAAAATCTGATGTCGTGGAAAGCCTGAAGAACTGATTCAGTTCTGCACTTGAGCAGTAATCACACCAACATCAAAGCTGGCTTCACGTCTGCGCAGCTTGTCTGCTGGTGTTCCACGCAACTGCAATGCTCGGCTGCTGGCCTAACGGCCCCACTTAGAGTCAGAGCTTTGCCTCGGCCAGATGAGAGACCTGGCAGATTTTCTCCGATTGCTCGAGGACCTCACACGACAGAGATCCCACCGGTTGGGCCTAGACTTCAAAGTTTTGCAGGAAGCCGTGTGCACCAAGTACGTGCTGCTCCGAGTGGCCTTCCTGTGCCTCGGCGGCATCGTCTCCCCAGCCCAGGCCTGGCCCAGCGCCTTGTACTCCGTTCCTGCCGAGGTTGCGTTGTGTTGCCATTTTCAGCCTGAGCATCCTTTGTCTGCCCGCACCTTCCATGACTAAGGCTTTTGGGTTGTTTGATATTGCATGTGCTGCTGCCTGAGCTAGCTGCAAGCTTCCTTGTCTCAAATTTCGGTTCATATCGAATGACGCATTGAACTCAGGATGAGATGTGGCCTTCCTGTCATGGGCGTCCCGAGCTTGAAGCTGTTCAAAGATGCACATTAAAGCGGTGCGGCATTCTTGAACTGAAGGTTCAGAGCACCTCTGTGTGCAAGCAGGCACAGGGCAGCAGTGCAGCACCTCTGAGAATTCGGGCGGATGTTTTGAAGGCTTTGAAGTCCCAAGTGAAGAGGCCTGGTCTTCGGACAATGCGCTGAAGCCCGGGTCAGCTGTGCCGCACTGAACTGAGGTTCAACATGGCGCACGAGCGGTACGATCCAACACTTTCGGCGGGTCATCCTGATTTGTACGAGCCGGGATCCCATGTGACATGTTACACAGCACCGTGTCTTGTGAGCAACGAAGCTGAGTGCGTTTGTCAAGAAGCCATCAAGGCTCCAGGTTACAAAGAAGCCTGTTGCCAGTGCTTTGAGGTAGTAGTGCGGTGATAGCCTCTGGCATCTCGGGCCACAGTGTCGGATGTCAGCAAGAGCTCTAAAGCTTTTGGCAGACTCGCAACAGTCAGAGGTGGCTCCTGCTCCACCAAGCCCAGTCCTTGGAAAGCTTCGGTACACAAGCGCGGGCGTCTTTCTTCCGTCGGCCCCTCCGGGCCTGGAGGCTACAGGGCATTGCTCTGAACAAGTGGAGGGGGCTGAATCAAGCTCTGGCAGCACCTATTTCGATGACGCAGAGCTTGCACCGTTTCCAAGTGATGCAAGATTCTGGGGTCAAGCTCAGCTCGAGGGGAGCCAGAAAGAGCCAGCTGCTGTTGGCGGCACGCAGACTATGATCCTTGCCACTACTCCTTTGAGCCCGCCAATTGCCACAGACTGGTCTTTCCCGTCCGTGTGCCCATGGGCCGGAGCTATGGCCCAACTTGACATGTGCTACCCTGGCTTCGACGACGGAAACAGCTATGCATTGCCAGAAGCGCTGCAAGTGCATGTTCCTGTCCCGGAGCAGCCTCCACCATCGCTCCCGGCCACCCTTGGTTCAGCTGCACATGAGGAGGGCACCTGCAAGCCCTGCGCTTTCGTCTACACGAAGGGCTGCCAAAGTGGTTTGTGCAGACCTTAGGGCCAGGGATTCTCCGATCGGCAGAGCAAACAAGACGGACTGATGCCGACACATCTGTTTCCCAGAACCTGAGGCATTGTGCATTTTGTCACCTTTGTCCACCTGGCGAAAAAGATCGTCGAAAGAAGGTGAAGCACATCATGGCAAGGCTGGGTGGTCGTGCTCATAGGTAGTAAGCCAACTGGCATTGCGTGATGAGTCTTCGCAGGATCAGACGCAGGGCCAAACCTGGTGCTTGACTGTTCCACTACCAGCTCAGATGGCAAGATGAGCGTCGGCGATTACAGCTGGCCACGGTTCCTCAGACAGGAAGTTCTGCCCTCTTCCCAGCATGCACCAGGTTTGAGCAATTCGTAGCGTTTCATCACTCAGCAGGTAATGAATGTTTGTATTTCTCTCAGACCTGTGTCGTGCTGGTGCCAATCCGTGACCAGGACATGTTCCGCTGTTCCAGCTTGTTTCCAGTCGCGGAGGCATGTCGAGCTTCACCAAAGTGGTGTTCTCACAGAGCATTCGTCGGAGGATCAAGAAAGACTCAAATAGCTGAGGTTGTAGAGGCACGTTGCGAGATTGATACCAAAAAGAGGCACTTGCGAATTCTGTACATCTGGGTTTCACTTCTGTCGTGCAGGGTGCAGCAACATGCAGCCACCAAGGCCCTCACCGTTTCACGACGATAGAGACAAGAGGCACAGCTGGAGCGGCAAACGCAATGCTTTCCTGGAGTCGCCACTGTCAGGCGAGCCGTGACTGGCGGCGAGTGATTTCTGAATCTAGTTCATGAAGCTCCGGTTTGCCATGATGGCATCTGGAACAAGCTGTACATACGTCAACCGCATTGCAGCCGGTGCAGCTTCTTCAGGAAACCTTTGATGGCTGGGATCAGAGCTGCCAGACTCTACACAGCGAAAGGTGAGGCGAGGTTCCTGCATTGCCTAAGGAGGCTGCAGCAGGCGGTAGAACGGCAGGAGCACCTTTGCCTTCTGCAAGCTGCTCCAGCACAGTGATCCGAAGTCACGAAAGGATGCGACTCGTTGAAGGCATGCACTGCTGTCTGCCTGTGTCGGCTGCTGTTGTAGGTTCGTGAGCTCTCAACTTCTCGTATTTCTGTCGCTGTTTCATCTTGTCGTGTTCACCCGGAAAACCTTGCGTTCAGTGTTTGATGGCACTTTACTAGACCAAAGTGCATGGCCCGGCCTGAGACGTGGCTATGGAGGCACGGCAGTCTTTTGTGAGCCCTCCTTTAGCAGCGCCCAGTCGACCACGCAGTGCATCACGGAGAAGTTTCCGGAGGGCCGAGGGCATGCCCCAAACGACCCAATCAGTGTCACTTCGTCAGGGACGTTTTCAACCCTCAGCAAAACTGGGTGCACGGGGTAAAGGTCTGCAAGCCAGAGAGATTTCAGGCTTGTTGCATGGCGCGCCTATCGCAGCGCTTGTCAACACGGAAGACTTGATGCAGAAGACGATTATATACCACAGTCTGCGAGACATCTGCTCTCTGAAAGCCTCTTCCCGCCAGCTGCGTGATACCTGTTCGGTTGATGCGGTCTGGAGATGTCTTTATCGCTTGCGATGGCCACGTGAACAAACAGGGGACGAACTGCTAGTTGCATCGTGGCGCCAGAAGTTTGTCGAGCGGCTTCGTCGCACGCGCGAAGGTTTCATGTCTAGGGGCCTTCCTGCTCTAATGCAGAAGTCACGGCGAAGAGATGGGCTGCCAGACCTTCGCAAGCTGCACGACTCACTCCGCATCCGCTATAGCCTGTGTATTGCAAGGAAGGCCAATACAGCACGTTTCGAATTCAGCGACGCCTCTGTCCAGCCGTTTGATTCGGCGGTTTGTTTGAGGTGCAGCTTCTCATCCTTACAAGTCGCCTGCCCTTTCCGACTGGAGTGCAGTGGAAGGTCGTCTTCAACCGGGAGGGAGGAGATTCTCCTGGCAGCTGCCATGGACCGAGTGGATGCCTGGGGAGATGGATTCGTTAAGGACGAGATAAGACTTGTAAGAAGCCCTTGCGGAAGGCTTCTCGTTGCCTTTTGGAGAAGCAGCGGTACGCTTGCGGGTCTGTATGCGAATTTGACCTACAGGCATGTTTTCCAGTCTCTGCTGCCTAATTGCGAAGCTTGGGAGCGTTTGGCGGGACGTCCTGGGCCCGATGACCTGGACTCTGCACTGGGGCTGCACGGCTACACTCTGCTGCTGACCCTTCGGGGTGCGAAGGCGGAGTGCTTTTCCAATGCCTTCTACAAGATTACATCTTTCAGGCTCGGCCGTGAGCGAGCAGACAGCTTCGGCAGTGCTTGAGCCTTGGAAGTCTAGTGATGGAGCAGCAGCGAAGCACCTTCTGAAGTGTGTGCCCATGAGATCCCATGAGGTTGCAGTGTCAAGCTCTCACAGCGTTTTGCACTCAGTGCTTGTGAACGCTGTCTGCAATTGTTACAAGACGAGCTGGATTGTGTATGTGGATGTGCCTACCCAGGTAATTCAGACACGAGATCCGGCAAATCTGCCGGGAGCTGCGCAGGACCTTCATAGAACTTCATCAAAGCCTCAATTATAACAGCTCAACCGTGATGACATGGAGAGTACATCAGCTCAGGATGCCGGAAGGGCAAGTTTGTGCCGCGATCAACGGGTACGAGAGAGGAAGCTCCACGCACAGGCATCTGCACGAGCTGATGCACACCACCACTTGGACAGAAGCGTGCTAGTTCGCTTTTGAATTCAGTGGATAGTAAAGCAGTTTCAGTACCAAGTTCAGAAGTAGTGAGTAGTAGTTCCTGTATCCAAGCCGTTCTGCCGATTAGATTCGCTTTGTACTGCCATACACATTTCAGAGCCTGCCTACCTATTCCGGGAATCACCGTGCGAAGACGTAGTTTCTACACCTTGCCTATGCTTCACGCAAGCAGAAGTTTTTCCTTGCCAAACCTGGCAGGATCGCGATAATGAAAGCAACTCAACTCCATTTCACACCGGGCACCAGCAGCCGTCGTACAACACAGAAAATTAGTAAACACACGGAACGAAAACTCCATCGAAAGCTGGTGTGGTCAGCGTAGCGATGAGCGTGCTTTCTGGATGAGAACTGCTAATGATTCCGCTAGTGTGCGTTGTGCAGACAAACGTAACGAGCAGGTGTGCCATTTTGAAGTTCTTGCCCCACATGATTCTGGGCTTCAGCCGGCGTTTCCAAGCTATTTTAACATGTGACAGTCTGTCTACATAGTTGTGTGATGTCTGGTGCTATGGAGTTCCACATGCTGTCTCTTTCTGACTCTTAAAATGTCCCAAAACTAGGTTCTCCTGCACCCGGCAACCGGGCATTGCATTCCAGACAGCCGCCTTCAGGCTTTTCTTGCTGAAGCCTCGGCATGATGGAGTGATCTTTGCAGACAGTTTGTCAGTGAGCTCGCGAGTAAGGGCTGACCATGTCTTTGTGGATGCTACGATCTTTGACGACCACGGGCGCGTGTTCTGGGCTGTGCAGGGACGCTTAGTATGTATGCAGCTCCAGCTTCGTGAACGTGGTCGAGCCTGCTTGAAACAAGGACTTGCTTCTGCACGATGACATCTGCACCTTCCTGAGTTTGTTAGTAATTTCCCATTGAACCGCTGCAGATCCAGCAATGGCAACCATCAGCTAAACTGACTCAGGTTCCTTTATGCCTCAGGATCCGCGGAAATACTCCGTGTGAAAGCGAACCTCTTGCTCACTGCTAACTCCCCGGGTAAAGCTGGTAGCCTAGACACATCATGCAGCTGCGACACGCAGCTGCAGCCACAAATGTCAAAGCGAGCACTCTCAGGCCCTCTCCTTCATGCGGGCCGGCTGTTGATGTCCGCTCTCTCTCTCTCTCTCCATATTCTGCTTTCCAGGTTCCGATACCTAAGCCGCAACACTCACAGAGTACGGTTGGAACCGCATGCTTGCCTCACCGCCCCACCTTGAAAGACTGGAGAGGCTGTGCGGAAAGCATGCAACAGAGTCGTTGCTTTGCCAATTCTACCTTGCCTGGGAGCTGCATCGCCAAGCTGCCGAACGGCGCACAGCTAAGGTCTATATACATACTTTAATCACTTTAATCATAGCAAGTCCCTGCAGGCTAGAGCAGTGATTGCGGTCAAAGGGTGAAGTTTCTTAATAAGCCGAGGCATGCCCTCACGAGTCGACCATGCTGGAGGAGAGAAAGGCGCAGGTCACTCGCCGACTCAGCACTGACAGTTGCTTCAAAAAAGCCGTTGTATCATTAATCTAAATTAGTCTGACATTCGCGTGGGACTGTGCCCAGGTGGACTTTGATCGGGAAGGCCGTTTTGCAAACATCTTCGCCAGCTGGAGTTGGGTAGTAACTGGTAAGCGACTGCAGCAGGCAATGGCAGTGAAGTGTGCCAGCAGGCTGTCCGAGTCCTTGCTCCGATGGTTGCTGAGACTTGGTTGTGCTGACTGTCTGACAGGTGAGATGGATATCGCTTGCAGATCGTGGTGCTGCGCATCTGGTGCTGCAGCCCGGGGCAATAGCTTTCCTTCCAGCGGATGGTAGATGCTGCATGCCGTCTTGTGCACTTCGAATCCTTGCCGATGTCCATGGTTGACCCTCCAAGAAATCCATGATGTAATTGGTGTCTATGCCTTTCAATCCGAATTCGCCCACGTGGAGGGCAGACCTGGAGTGTTGAAGCATTCCAGCTTCTCCTTACAATTGTAGTGCTGCGCACTCCGATGTTGGCAAGCTTGGATGCATGCCCGTCAGGGTTCACGAAAGCCTCGCAGGTTTGTTTTCAATTTTGCCAGCAGGGGGGATGGGAGGAGCAGTGCTGTTGTAACCAGCCTGGTTCACTCGAGAAGGAAACGGAGCACAGCGCCAGGGAACTGTCGAACCAGACTACAAACTGTACCGTTCAGACTATCGCAGCAATCGCCTCATCCTTGATGGCAGCTGGACCCTTTGATGGAGCACTGTTGCTTTGCATGATGCTGAGGTTGGAAGGTGCGGCTCAAGCGCCTGAAGCAGATGAAGGTAATGGATTGCCCTGCGAGACCCGGTCTTTGGCAATATGCGCGGTCGCTGGAGGCAGCGGACTTGTTCAGCCTCTTCCACGCCTGAACAGTATTAGTTGGCATCCAGAACTGGCCTTTATGGACGATTGGTGGCGGTCTCAGACTGATGGCAGCTTGAGTATCCTAAACAGGTACGGCACAGAGTGACTACTAAGGTGGGGGTCGTGCTACGCGGCAAAGCGTTCGCCTGACAATGGCTAAGTGCGATGCCCGTTTCCTTCCCGAGGGATTCGGGGCGAGTGCATGTTGAAACTGTTGAGATTGTCCTGTCGTCGTCCAAGTCAAGCCCAGGTGAGACGACCAGATGGCAGAGAAAGCATGGACGTCAGGAAGACTGCGGGAAGTATTCACGTGCCATGTACCTCGATTGTCGCCTGTTGGCATGCTGAGATGAGTAAACGTGCTGGACAGACGCAGGCCCACGCGGCTTAGCAACATCTGCTGCTGTTCGGCTATTCGACACTGCGAGCACAACATTTCCAGAGGGATGTTCTGTCACCCAAGCTCGGGCGTTTCGGTGTACAACTGCAGGTGACCATGGTGTAAGCAGAGAATCGGTGCTTGGCGGTACAGTGCACAACAGCACTACCAAGTCCAGTGCCGGTAGGCACGCTGTACATAGTCACACTGTCTCAGGAGAGGTTCGTTGGATAGGTTTTGCATTCGGCGCGTGGTTCATCGCAAGTGAGATCGGCAAAGGCTTCTAATTTAGGCCACGGGTTGATTCTGCGACATCGACCCTGTGCTGTGTGTCAAAAAGACCTGGCGATGCAATATGATCGTTGTGCAGGTCTTGCAACAAAATGTTGTCCAGCGGGTAAGCACGCAGATACCTCAGTCAGGGACTTGGCAACGACAGGATGCTTGAGTGGGTTTTTGGTGAACATGAAGGACTGGAAAACTCTTGCATGGGCTTGTTAGGAACGGAGGAAGATGCATTCTGCGTTTGCAACCGTCGTAGCAGACAGAACAGTTTTCCTTCGTCAGCTTCCCACGGCAATTGCCTCCGAGGCCAGCTTGTTATCATTCCATGACGAGGGAAAATGAGTCTGGACATAAGGCATTTTAGACGTGTATCCGGACACTACTCGTGGTAGTCTACTTCGCCGACGCCAGCATGATCGATATGGCAACATGAAACCAGTGCACCCACCTGAATTTGCTTAGTTCCAGAGCCAGAGGTCGCAAGAAACCACGAGAAGTAGGAAGCCGCTGCATCGCGCCTTAGATAGTTGGGTTGTTATTTTGTGCAGCATGGTGCCTTTCTGAAGCTTTGGAGTCTGTACTCCTCCTCGCGAAGCTGGAGGCAGCGGTACTTGATTCACTGGTTGTTACTTGTTCCACTCTTGGCATTCAATGCCAAAGGTGCAGCATGAGACTTGTAGGCGATGCTTCTTTTCCGATGGGTAGCCGCAGCAGTCATTGCCACCATTCAGCATCGTCCCAAGTTCGGCCATGTGGCAAGTCTTGCTTGCATCTCGCACCGGAGCAGGCGGCATGTGACATGGCTACTCGCAGTGTGCAAATGTTGTGTGGCCACCCTTTGCTGCAGCCGTCTGCTTTGCCCGGAGTTTGCCAAAAACCGCTTTAGCCGGCACTGACAATGGAGCCTTGGCAAAAAGAAGCGCGCAGATCTCCACGTGGGTCGGGATCTCTCTGTGTGTTGACCCAAGGAGGCACGAGATGCCTTGACCGTCACCACCTCTGCAGACGAAGCGAACCGAAGGACGAGCACGTCAACAGGCCTCAAAAGCCGTCACGAGCCTGCGTTCCATCGCATGACTTATCTCGGCTTGCTCGATCCTCATACTTTTGTTGAAGGTCATTAAGTCCACTTCGATTACGCCTAAGGTATGTATGCTTCTGAACCGTGTGTGAGTTGGTCAATCCCTCGAGGGTGTCTAGTGAATTCTAGTGATTCTAGTGAAGCGAGGCCTCATATGTACTGGTGTCCGCAGCTGGTTCGGGTAGGCGGGAACACCAACCCTTTCTCCGAAAACAAGCCGGTGCAGGTTGTGGTGTGTATTGTCGGGCAGTGCACGTGTGCACAGTGACAAGTTAGAGCGTGTGAAGGTCTTTGTGTTTGCTTCACCAGTTAGAGGAAGCAAAGAAGAAACAGCTTCTGAAGCCTCTTAGCTTTTGTTAGACTTCGTTGCTGCCATGGCAGCCCGTCAGCCCAGTGGTCGTGGCTGCTTTGAGAGTCTTGTGCGAAGCGTCGGAGGATGCCTTGATGGAGGCCCTGTCAAAGTTCCGCATCTCCCACGGAGCACGGTTGGCTGCCTTGACTTCCCAGTCAGTCGCGGAAGACTGGGTTCTTTCCGGCAGATCACAGAGCAAAGCACCTGCGACGCCGAGTTGCTCGTCGGCGCGATCTTCGGCGACCTCCCGGACGAGATGGGGCCCGAGCGCGTCTTGCGGAGCTGGGAAGATGAGCCGCCTGTTAGCAGCGATGAGACGGACCAGGCCACCGCTGGCATGTTAGCCACACCCGACGACTACTTCGACTCTGTGGCTGTGGAGAACTACGACGAGGGCCAGTTCGATGGGTCGGAATGCGGAGCCGACACGGGCGGTGTCTTCGGTGGACACTCTGCACCCCATGCTGCTATTACTACTACTACTACTACTACTACTACTACTACTACTACTCCTACTGCTACTGCTACTGCGACTGCGACTGCGACTGCGACTGCGACTGCGACTGCGTTTGCGACTGCTACTGCTACTGCTGCTGCTACTGCTACTGCTACTGCTACTGCTACTGCTACTGCTACTACTGCT